TTTGTTGTTTTTTGCTAGTATTTTTTGGCCTTTTACCTTTCTTTCTTTTAAATTTGATCTCTGCTCACTGGGTGCAAGGGGCACTGTTTCAGACTTCTTGTGCCAGGGATTGCAGGCCCTGGCTGTTTACCTGGTGCTACCTGATGTTGCCCTGAGGCCCCCTGGAAACCCTCATTTCTGGTGCTGCTCTGAAGGTGTTGGGTGAGAGTTGTCTGGCACTGCTGGAGGCTGGAGGCATCTGGCAGCTTACCTGGTACTAAGCCACAGTTCTAATGCTGTTGTCTGGGGTGTGCTAAGGCCAGTGAGGTGTTTCTTTATTTCCCTAGGGCTACGCTGAAGTGAATGGCAGTCTGGCTGCTGGAGCTTGCCTGTTTGCCAGGGGCTACTCTGAAGCATTTAAGGGTTCTTAAAGCTGAAGTCTGCCCAGTCCCCTGGCTACACTGTAGGACTTGGAGGGAGGAGTCCTGGTTTTGACATGTGTCTCATAATTTATTGCTGTTTTGCTTAGGTGGGGTTTGCTGCTGGCTTGCTGAGATGCTTTCTGTCCTGCACTGTTCTCTCCTTGTTCACCCAAGAGAGACATAACCTTTCCTGTCAATCTTCCAAGTTTCTTGGGCTCAAAGATTGTTTCATTCCATCTTTTTGCTGGTTCTGCTGTTCCAGGATTTGTTTTGGGGTGCTATTTTATGGTTGTTTGGAGGTGAATATGGGAGAGTTACATCAATTTAATGCTTACTCTGCCATCTTGGCTCCTGGAAGTCTGCCTAACATATCAAAAAATATTTTCTATACATGAGGTTGTGGTTCAGGAAAATTGTATATTAGCTCTCATCTTGGGTTTAGTGGGCATATATGTTTATTTCTACTCTGTGCCTCTTTGGGAAATGTATCAGTGCCCTATTACCACCACTTGGCAGAGGGAGGATACTTCACAAGTACCAGTCACCATGCTCTAACTCACTCCCAATATCACAGCCCTACTTTACTGAGATCTGGTCTATCCACTGGAGAATTTTTTAATGGAAATACTTGCAAAAAGGCTGCTTTCTATCACTACTTTTATGTTTGGGACAGAGGGGGAGCTTCTGTGACAAGAGCACATCATTGTGAGACTCATCCAGCCATTTCTTTTGGATGTGGCCAAAATCAATGAAAACCAAGCATTACCCCTTACTAGAAATCTATCAAGAATTATAATTTATTCTCCTAGCAAGGTATCAATATTCATATCTGTTTATAGAAGGAGATGTTTTCTTTGCTCCAAATGAAGGTTCTAGCCCTATAAATGAATGAAATTGATCAAGGACTCCTTTTAATAATTCCTCTCTTATACGTATTATCCCTTTTTGCCAACTTGATTTTGCATTGTTAAAGATCTATCAACATTTATTGAATTTTGATTATGATTGAACACAACTTAGAAATTATGAGCATTTAATGATGCATTTGGAATCTTTATCACTCGAGTGCTGAACTGAGAGTTCAACTCTCAGTAGATATTATCCAGTTCCATCATTGGGAGTGTCCTTTATCTAAGGCCCCAGAGATCAGAGTTTTGAGAAACTAACAACTGAAGAAGTTCATGATTAAGCTCAAATAGATAAAATAGAATCCTCTTAAGCTGTTCATGCTTATACATTTTTAAAGACGTGCTGACATGTTTAGGTTACATATAGAAATTTCTAATTTATTGTTGTTGTTGTGTTGTTGTTGTTAGTCTTTTGTTTTGACTGTTTGAAAAAAAATGTCCAGGAAGGGGTTATATTGATTAATCTAGTGGATTAAATAGTTTATATTTATCTGAAAATAATTACCTAAATATTAAGTCAGTTTTAAGTAGCTTATTTGAAATATTTGCTACTAAAAATCATATTTTGTCATTATTTTCCAGAACTTTAATTTGTATAGCTTTATTACTTACTTATCTGTTTTTGTTTTCTTGTCAGTGCCTTACTGCTTTCCTAAGAGTTCAGAGATGATATTTATCTGCATTTGGGAAAACTGATACATTCTCAACTAATTATGAAAATATAACCCCAGGTAAATAGTGGTCAACTACTATAGTTCTGGGTATTTGCAGAGGACTGGCATTTTGAGAAGATATAAATAGGAGGAAAAGAACAAAAAATTCAACTCAACCACAGCATTTAATTAAATAGGAAAGTCTATAGATTTTTCATTCCAATTGAATCTCAATCTTTTCATCTCACTTTGAGAGTCAGGTTTTAAAATATGGTTCTTAGTTGCACCTCCTACACAAGTAGAATAATACTGTCCAATTAAGATTAAAGTATTGATAATATTATTTCATGTAAAACAAGTACTTCTTTATTCTCCTCTATATAATCTCTTAAAAGGAGCTCTACAACTTAAGTAAATTCTCTCATTTACCAAAACAGAAATATAGGCCTCATATTTATTTGTTTTTATTTTAAGGAGTCGATGTTCTCTGAGATTTTCCAAATTACAAACTGATAAAATAAAAAAAAATAATATTCCCTTATTTATCCTGAGTTCTAAGCCTTCTAATTTAAAATAGGATGAGAGAGAGATGCAAAACTAATAATTTTTTTGTGCTACCCCTTCTGTCACCCATCCTGAAGTTAGAATAGTGCCTTCATTTTTTTTTTTGTTATAGGTATATCTTATTATCTTGGCACATACAATATAAAATTCTGTTTATGCAGGAGGTATCCCTTACTTCTCAATAGTATTTCTTATTAAGATTTCTTTTTATCCCTCCCTTTTGTCCTCTAGTCTTTTCAAATGCATATTTTTTAAAAAAAGTGATCTTTCAAGCAAACAGAAAATGCTACCAATATCACTCACAATTCGTGTTCTACCTTTCTTTTTAAATATAAATAGATCACTACAGAAGAGATTTGGGGAAGAGGGGAACTTTGGGGAATTCCAAACATTAAGAAGTAAGGACATAAGATGGATTGCCAAATATTAAGGTTTTAACTTAGAAATCAGTAAACTGTACTTCTAATATGGACTCTCAAGTCCTTCCTGTCCACCCTTCACTGAATGTGACATTGTACATGTTCAGTTAGATGAAATGAGCACTTTTTTGTATTGGATAACCAGAGTTCCAGTTCTGGATGCATGCACCCAGATAGGTGACCGAAGTAAGTTTATTCCTCAGTAGTCTTAGTTCAGTGTTTCTTGAATACATTTGCAAGCAGGACAAGAAGAATAAGGCTTTTTTTTTTTTCCTGCACCACCCAAGATGCAACTGCTTATTTGCTTGCAAACATTTGAAAAACCTCAGAATGATGAAGAAACTTTTTTTAAGTAATCAATAATCCTAGAATCCATCCTCTTTCTCTTCTTTCCCTGCCCCTAATGCAATCTATTTGGTCTGTAATCAAATATGTAAAAAGGCAACGCATTTTCAACCACAGTCTTTAAAAAAGGTTAAGAGAATATGAGTAGAAAAGAATAGCTATTAATGGCCAAGGCCATTGAAACCCCCTACAAAGTAGGAGAAATTAGTAGCCTGAATCAGTTATTGTGCAGCCAAATCTTCCTTCCCCCACCCTAAAAGTACTATACATATATACATATATGTATGTATTTGTAATCTATGATTCAATACATGATGATTCAACGTTACAAAGAAAATGTTTCAAAAAAAAAGAATAGCAGGAAACATTATACTACTGCAGGAAAGGAAGAAATGCATTTAAAGCAACGATGAAAATGGCGTGCAGTATAATTACCTGAAATTGCTATTCACTTGACACCCTGACACTAATTTTATTCAAGCCATTGGGAAATAAAAAATTTAAAAGCACTCCTTTCCAAACGTCAGAGCTTGGGTGGGTGGGTGGGTGGGGAATTTAGGGGATAGGGAGGGTGGAGGCAGGAAGGAAAGGGTAAACTTTCCAGTATCCAAAAAAGAATTAAACAATCCATTTAGGATAAGCGTCTATATAGATCGACAGCCTTTAATGCCAACATTTTTAACGCTTGCCCTGTACGTAGATCGATTTTTTTTTTCTCTAGCATTCCCTCAGCAGATGGATTTTTGCTACTGCAGATCAGCAGAGGGTGTCAGATCTTTCAGAGTGCACCAGGCTGGAACGAGCAGAGCTTCTTAGTAACTCTCTTTTCCCCCTCCCCACTCTCGCTTTTTCTCCCTTCTTCTCTCCCCAACCCCCTCTTCTGAGTAATTCAGAAAGAGCAGAAGAAAGAGAAGCAAAACAAGGGGGGGGGAAGAAGCGCTAGTTAGGGAGAAGAGAGGGGAACCCGAGAAAAGAACAGAACACGAGAAGAGGGAGAAGGATGGATAACCACAAAACGCAGCGATTGCGGAAATTTTGCAGCGCCATTGGCTCGGCAGCTATTCCTTAGGCTGGGGCGTGATTTCAGCACCAAGGGGAACTGGACAGCACCCAGAGGGGACTCCTAGGCAGAGAGCAACAGCAGCAGGAGACGCTGCAGCAGCAGCTACAGCATCAGCATCAGCATCAGCAGCCGGAAACCCTGCTTTGTAACAGAAAAGGCAAGGTCAGTCCGAGGCATAGCCATGCACAGGCACTTCGCCTGTACTATGCTGCACTCAGCCCGCTGCTGTGTCTAACATGCACTTGCTTCTAATTCCTAGCATTGTTACCCTTCAGATTAGTGAAGACTAGCTAGCAGAGATTCGACAGTTAAGGGTTTAAAAAAATTTTTTTAACTTCTTTTGGTGGTTTCAAAGGGGAGGGAGGGAGGATTTTTTCCTACTTTTTATTTTTTATTTTTGCGTGCCTTGCACTACGTGCCTGCATAGTTTGTGGATTTAATTATTTTGACTGGCGTCTGGACCGTTGCAGTGTGGGGGGGGAGGAGGGAAGAAAGAATCCACCCCCCCCAAACGAAAGCTTTTTTTTTTTTCTTCTTCCTTGGGTTCGGACATTGAAGTGGTAAATGAACTTGAACTGTGTCTGTGGCGAACAGGATGATTGCTGTTACTTTGTGATGAGATCGGGGATGAATTGCTCAGTTTAAAAATGCTGCTTTGGATTCTGTTGCTGGAGACGTCTCTTTGTTTTGCCGCTGGAAACATTACAGGGGACGTTTGCAAAGAGAAGATCTGTTCCTGCAACGAGATAGAAGGGGACTTGCACGTAGACTGTGAGAAAAAGGGTTTTACAAGTCTGCAGCATTTCACTGCCCCGACTTCCCAGTTTTACCATTTATTTCTGCATGGAAATTCCCTCACGCGACTTTTTCCTAATGAGTTCGCTAACTTTTATAATGCTGTTAGTTTGCACATGGAAAACAACGGCTTGCATGAAATTGTTCCCGGGGCTTTTCTGGGGTTGCAGCTGGTGAAGAGACTCCACATCAACAACAACAAGATTAAATCTTTCCGAGAACAGACTTTCCTGGGGTTGGACGATCTGGAATATCTCCAGGCTGATTTTAATTTATTACGAGATATTGACCCGGGAGCATTTCGGGACTTAAACAAACTGGAGGTACTCATTTTAAATGACAACCTCATCAGCACCTTACCTGCCAACGTGTTCCAATATGTTCCCATCACCCACCTCGACCTTCGGGGAAACAGACTTAAAACACTGCCTTATGAGGAGGTCTTGGAGCAGATCCCAGGCATTGCTGAAATCCTGTTAGAGGATAACCCCTGGGACTGCACTTGTGATCTGTTGTCTCTGAAGGAATGGCTAGAGAACATCCCCAAAAACGCACTTATTGGACGCGTGGTCTGCGAAGCTCCCACTAGACTGCAGGGCAAGGATCTTAATGAGACCACAGAACAAGATCTGTGTCCTTTGAAAAACCGAGTGGACTCTAGTCTCGCAGCACCCCCTGCCCAGGAGGAGACCTGTGCTCCTGGCCCTATTCCAACTCCCTTTAAGATTAACGGCCAAGAAGATCCTGCCACTCCAGGGGCTGCTCCAAATGGAGGTACAAAGATTCCAGTCAACTGGCAAATCAAAATCAGACCTACTGCGGCGGTATCTACGATCAATGCCAAAAACAAACCTCCGGGAAGAAGTATGACCTGTCCGGAAATATGCAGCTGTGACCAGATCCCAGATTCGGGTCTAAAGGTGAATTGCAATGACCGAAACGTGAGCAGTTTGGCTGACTTGAAGCCCAAGCCCTCCAACGTAAAGGAGCTATTTTTGAGAGACAACAAAATCCACACTATTAGAAAATCTCACTTTCTGGATTATCGGAACCTTAATCTATTGGATCTAGGAAACAATAATATTGCAACTGTGGAGAACAACACCTTTAAGAACCTTTTGGACCTGAGATGGCTATATATGGATAGCAACTATCTGGACACCCTGTCCCGAGAGAAATTCACCGGGTTGCTGAACCTTGAGTACCTGAATGTGGAGTTTAATGAGATTCAGCTGATCCTCCCGGGTACCTTCAATGCTATGCCCAAACTGAGGATACTCATTCTCAACAACAACTTGCTGAGATCTCTGCCTGTCGACGTGTTTGCTGGGGTCTCCCTCTCTAAGCTAAGTCTCCACAATAACTATTTCTTGTACCTCCCAGTAGCAGGGGTATTGGATCAGTTAACTTCCATAATACAGATAGATCTGCATGGCAACCCCTGGGAGTGCTCTTGCACAATTGTGCCTTTCAAACAATGGGCTGAGCGCCTGGGTCCCGAAGTGATCATGAGTGATCTGAAGTGCGAATCCCCGGAAGACTTTTTCAAAGCAGATTTCATGTTCCTCTCCAATGACGTGATGTGCCCCCAGCTGTATGCAAAGATCTCGCCTACGTTAACTTCACACAGCAAAAACAGCACTGGGTTGGCGGAGACAGGGACTCATTCCAATTCCTACCTAGAGACCAGCAGGGTCTCTATTTCGGTGCTGGTCCCGGGACTCCTGCTGGTGTTTGTCACCTCTGCCTTCACAGTGGTTGGCATGCTAGTGTTTATCCTGAGGAACCGAAAGCGGTCAAAGAGAAGGGATGCCAACTCATCTGCATCTGAAATCAATTCCTTACAGACAGTCTGTGATTCTTCTTACTGGCACAACGGACCTTACAATGCAGATGGAACCCATAGAGTTTATGACTGTGGCTCTCACTCCCTATCAGACTAAGAACCCGGGGCAAAGGGTGGGGGAGGGGAGGTGGGGCGCTTTTCCACAAGTTTAGCAGCTAGCAACCCAGTGGTTAAAGAAACCTCGACCCTTGTGCTTTGTCTGCTCGCCCATGCCAAAGCGTGATTGGCATAAATCAATCAATCAAACAACTGCTCTAGAAGAAGAGGGTTCTTCTGGCCCCTCCGCTCTCTTTCGGGAAAGCCAAACAGTGCGAAGACTGTGGAATAACTGAGGGAACCGAAGCCAGCTCGCTAGCTCTAAACCCCCTTTGAGAAGCAGCCAAGCTGGAGCAGCGCTTCTTACATCTGACTATGCCCTTAGTGAGCCTTGGAGACTAAAAAGAGGGCAGACGACACACTTGGCCAAACTCTTATAGGGCGAGCGATTGTTATTGTCCTATATATATGTATAAATATACCTACGTCTATATATATAGAGAGATAGATATCTATTTTTTCCCCTGTGGATTAGCCCCTTGAGGAGGGGGACGTGATGGCCTCCCTGCTGACACTTCAGGGAAGGGAAGTTGCACGAAGGCATGAATGTAATGTAAATAAATGACTCGGATTCCGAACAAAAAGTGCTGCATGGCTCGCATGGATACAACGCACCCCAGGGACGCTCCCCCTCCCATTCAACCGGAGACAGCGTCTAATTCACACCATCCACCCTCTTACCTGATAAGTCCCATCGTATCAAACTTTCTATAAACAAAATACAGTATAATCTAAAAGTGCCATTTCGCCATTTTTTGTGATGATAGGCAGTGCAGAGAGGTACATTTACTGTGAAAAAATGTAAAGATTTTATTTAAGACATTTGCATGGGTAGTCATCAGTTCATTTTATGAGTTTAAAAATTTTACTTTCTTTGGAGAGGTTTTCCGGGGTTACTTTGGTATTTTTTTTTGTTGTTATTTTTCTATAAGTATCCAATAATGCCTTCCATCTGAATGTAAAATTAGTATCCTTGATTTCTATTATGGTATCAGTGTAAACATTCAAAAGAAAATAATTCCGAGGCAGTTAAGCATGACCAATTAATGTCACTCTAGTGCTTAGGCTGCGATCTTAATGGTAGTAATTCTGTGCTGGTGTAAATCTTACTATTAAGGAGAAAAAAACAGAATCGAGAAAGCACGTGAAACTTACTAATTCTATCCGAGGATTTTATAATGGCATATTTTTTCAGTATTAAAGTGAAAATGTTTTCAACTCTGGGTCCTTATATTTTTCCAGCTTCATTTTTGCAAGTGGCTGCTATGGTATGTGTTGGCAGGGATGGGGGAGGGGAGGGAAGGGGGGCGGATCCCTTCTTTGGCTACATTAAGGCAGGTTCTCTAATCTCCTTACTTAACTACCTATCCTTTGTGTCTTCTTGCTGCCCTCTAACCTCCCCAAAATGTTTAAATCATCTAGTTCCTTCTTTCACCCTACTCCCCACCTCGCACCCCCGTTTGCCCCCCTAATGCGGCAGTGAATCCCTTTATTAATGCTGGAACTCCCTCGCTGCTGCTTCTGCTGGTGCTGCACACACTGCAGATATATTAGGGATGTTAGTGGAAATTTGATTTAATTGACTCAGCCTAGATCGGTCTCATTAAACAGAGTGGAGATGTCATTGGTCAGCACTCCTTGCTGAAACGCAGCAGCCTTAATGACTGGCAGTTGAGATGCTGCTGGCGATTTGGCTCTAACAGCTGCTAGAAATGGTAAAACTAATTAGTGAAGGGAATTCCCCCCCCCTCATAACTGCACCTAGAAAATTGGTAAAGAAAACACACATCTTAACTCTGATCATCCACGTTAAAGAGCTTTTCTCTTAGATCATTTGGCTTTCTGGTAGTGGCCTCTTAATTAACAGGAAAAGCATTAAAGTGCTCAAAGCAGCGTAGCTCCAACCGTTCTTGGCTTTCTCTAGGTAAGGTCCATTTGTACAGCACAGACTAACAAAACTTCAAATACAGAATGGGTCTGCATTACAGCACATGCCCACCCTTGAGAAGTGCACAGATCACAGACATGGAGGGAAAATAAGTGACAGAAATCTAAATCGAATAGAAAAGGTCCTCTGAAATCTTAAGGTTAGAACATTGTTCTAGAACTCATTTTCTAAAGGAGTGTCATTTTCCAGAACACTGATGTTCTGCAGGTTATTAAGTTTATATAGCACTTTTATAATAAAATATTTTTTATTATTAAATGCAACTTTCCCAAAGCCATTTCTCATTTTCTCCTTTAGTTGATTTTGGTTGTGAATTGTTCATTTTGGTAGAACATTCATTGTAAGTGGAATTAGCATCTACTAGCAACAAAGGTCATGGATTTTTTTTTCTTTTTGGGGTCATTACGTCTTTTAAGTGAATATACAACAGGCTTCCTTCTCTGGATGGAAAGTATTATTTTATTTTATTTTTTTGCAATATTTTAAGAATCAGTTAAAATGAATACAAAATAAGAAGCAGGGACACTAGCAGAAGGTGACACTACCTCAATGATAGGTATTAGGTGAGAAATATTTGTTCCTAAAGAAACACATTAGTCTAGATTGATACTTAAGTTTCTATTCCTAAAGTGTTTATAAAAGGCTATGAATTTCCCTCTACTTTATTCATGGTATAGTATTAATTTTATTCTAGTCTATGCGTGGTACAATACAGTTTAAGGGATCAGGTGAGGAAATATTAGGTTATTAATTTGTTTTATTAATTTCTGCATTTACATTTGATAAATCTCTAAAGATACCTATTGTTTTACTATAGACAGAGGGTAACAACATCATTCTAATGATATAAAAGGATCTATGAAGGTTTTATTTAGTTTATAGATCAGACATATGTGGATCACTAAATCGATATAGTATGTTTTAAAAGATAAATTACTCTTTATGCTTATTCATTCAGAAAATAAATATAATGGTCATCTAAAACTTGGATTGTCTTTGCCAGGGGTTGTATCTAAGAAGGATAGTACACTTAATTTAGAGCAAAAACGATTTATGGATTGCAGCAATTTATGAATTATAGACATGCAAAGACATTGAAACCAAATTAACTAGATACTGATTTTGATAAAATTAGCACTGCTAAAGTGTTTTAATAAATAAGAAAACATGAAAAACATATGCAGATAAGCAGAATGACTAATGCTCAAATATATCCAATGACTGACTATGTAGAACATTTATTATTTAGACAGCCAATGTTTTATTCATTTTGATAAAGTATCTCTGTCATGATAATATATATTCTATTTGCAGAATATGTAATAATGCAGTCCCTCTACATCACTTTTGTTTAGATTTGCTTAGTCTCTTAGTTTTGAGGAGGTTTTTTTGATTTTGTTTTTGGGTCTTTTTTTTTTAATTTTAAAGGGCCTGTATAACTGTAGCTGTCACACGCAGTGTGTGAAGTATGTTGCTTCCAGTTGAATCACTCTTCAATTTATCAAAGCAAAAGAGATTTCAGTTGTGCAGAATGGAAAAAAGGAGGAAGAGGGAGATATCTTGTTTAGTTCAGTTGCTTAAAGGAAGTAGCTATACTGCTGTTGTAGCTAAGAATATCTCAGGAGTTAAGTAGTTGCCATAGAAATTTATTGTTTAACCATTTTACATGTTTATGAAGAAGGTAGCTAGAAAAAGTTGATTTAACAGTAACATATATATACACATATATAAATATATATGTATATATATACACATATATATGCATATGTATATATACGCATATATATATATATTTCCCCCTTAAAAGAAAAGATAACAAGCTGTTTATTAGATATGTGTCTAGATAAAATTGTTCTAGTTTTCAATATTCATTTAAAATCACATTGATGATTCCAAGGATAGTGTGTTTGGTTTGGGGTTATGCCACCTTTTTAATAAATGTTTTCTTATTTGGGTAGATCTCAGTGAATTTCTTGGGAGTGAGGGAAGGTCCAAGGGGGACAAAGGAAGTATCCATAAGGTATTTGATGGTTTCTAAGTCAGGTTCCCTGCTAGCTCTTTCAGAAATAGCCATCCTTTTTGTGTGAATACTTGTGTAATGACAATATGATAAGAATGTTTAAATGTGCCAGTGGTTTAATTATAGTATTAATTTGATTTTTGTCTATTTTTCATTCAAAGGTGAATGTGATTCAAATCATCATAAATTACTGTTTATTTTAAAAATTATTGACTGATGCCACCAAATATATCAAATCATATGCATGCTTATGGTTAATCTGTGAGCTACCTTAATGTAGTACATAAGCAATATAAAAGTGGATAAGCATTGACAAATTTGGGATAATTACCTGAGATTATATTGTATCTATACAAATGGCACAGATATAGATTATTTATGCAACTAACACAGCACAGGCTGGTATTTATCCTTAGTGTTGAACAGCTTGAGGAAATGCCATCATATTGTTCCATACTTACAGTGTTTATAAACAGAATAACCCTAAAGGCTGATTCCCTGTTGAGGTTTCATGTTACTTAGGCTTGAGTGCAGTGCTAGCCTTCCATAGTGACCTATCAATGATATTTTCATTAAATTTCAAATATCTTCAATATCAATATATTTAGACAATAACAAATATGAGTACAAGTGTTTTAGGTTTCAAACTGAAATGGACATGAAGTAATTATAGAGATTAAGCTAAAATTAAGCCCTTTGGCCTCAATTAACTGACTATTTTAGTTTAAAAATTATGTTTTGAATTTAATCATCTAGATAATAATTGAATTTATTTCTTCACTTTATTTTGCTAAGGCAAAGCAAGTCTTAGTACAATTAGAAAACAACAACACATTTTATTAAAAAACTCCCCCAAATGGAAACAATTTATATCTGTATCTGACAAAATAAAATAAAATCTAGAGTCTATGAATATCCAGGTTATAATTTATTCATTCATTCATCAAATATTTTTGAGTGTCTACTATGTAGAAAGTGTTGTGCTTGTGGGAAATGAAGATGACTAAGACTTTGTCCCTGCATTTAAGAAGTT